ATCATCGCCATTCTCAGCGGCGGCTGCCTTTCGCCTGGCGCGATCCTCACGCCGCTCCTGCAGCTGTTTGCGCCGCTGTTCGGCCTGCATTTTGGGCAGTTCGTGTGAATAGTTTAGCAGAAAGTACATGTGAACGTCCTTCAGCTCCTCCATGGACTGGACATCGTTGAGCCGCTCAAAGTCGCTGTCCAGCATGAGCCGCACATCGTCGGGCAGGGGCTTCTCGGTGTCCGCACAGAGCGTGTCCAGCTGGAACTGTCGCATCTTCTCGAAGAGCGCTTTCAGCTTCCGCTTGCGCTCGTTCAGCTGGCACCAGCGCTCGTCGAAGTAGTAGACCTTCCACAGGTCATCGATATTCAGTTCGGGCTTAACATACTCCTTCCGATAGAAGGCAATGAATGGCACCTCCAGCTGCTGGTTACGTATGAACTCTAGCGTCTGCTTGATCTTCTTCACGGCCGTGGGTGGCTTGCGCATCTTCTCCCGATTGTCGGCCTTCTCCTGCTCGGAGACGGTGTTCTTGCAGAACGCATACTGATAGATCCAATCGGCCTCGTCGTCCAGCTCCAACGAGCCCTCGGGCACGGGCGTTACGGGCACCTGTCGCAGCTGCATGCGCTCCGGTATGTCTGTTTTTCGTATCTCATTGTCCAGGTCGGTAAAGTGGCCGCGCTTCAGCTCGCTCGGTTCGTAAATGTCGAAGATTGTCTTCTTGGCGACCTTCTTTTTGAGGGCCTTCTTCTTCTTCACACGTTGATCATCGCCGCCAGCCATATCCTCGTCGTACTCATCGCCCTCGGAGTCATCCTCGTACTCATCCTCCTCGTATTTGGAGAAATCATCATAATCAAAATCGACACCAAATATGTCCTGGCCCTCTTGCAGGGATCTGGTTGTGGTTGTGGATGTGGATTGGTGGGGACAAAAAAAAATACAGAATTACAATTACAATCTTTTTTTCTGGGGGGAGAAACCTCTCTTTTGAGGTTGCGCGGGTGCACCACTTACGCATCTGTAAATATGGGACGCCTCTTCTTCTTTTTCTCGGCAATGGGTCGACCATTGTCATCCACAATAAAATCATCGGCATCTGACTCAGAGTCCTCCTCATCAAAGGCATCCACCTCGCCATGCCGAGGACTGCGCTCGCTGCGATGCTCAATGCTCTACAATGGGCAAAAGAGGGTCAAATATATTTGCTTAGAAGATCTCAGTAGTGTAGTTAAGTGGTTGGGTGGTGTACCTCATCGTTTTCGTCAAACAACTGTTCGGCGATCTGTTCGCGGGCCAAACCCTCGTCCACATGCTGCTCCTCGCCATCGCTTTCGTTGTCATGAATGCGCCTCAGACGCTTGAAGCGTTTCTATGTATGCAATATATATAGATCATTAAATATGTTGTATACATATCTAGAATATTGGCTACTTACACGTCTCTCAACCTTCACCCCTAGATTCTCTTCAATCAGATCGTAGTCATCGTCCTCGAGTCGATCATCTAGATCATCATCCTGATGTTTCTTCCGTTTCTTGCCACTGCCACCGCCTTCGTCATCATCATCGCCGCCGCTGGCAGTGTCCGAATCGCCGCTGCCGTCCTCCTCCTCAATGGGTCTGTCATCAATTAAATCTTTAAGCTCCTCACGCAGACGTTCTTCGTCATCTAATAAAAAAACATTAAAAGTGTATATTACAATCGAGTGCATGATAAATTGGTATAGGATATATGTAGCTCTGGAATATTGGGGGTTCCCAATCAATTCTAGGAAGTGAATAATCATGTATGTTCGGTATGAAATGATTTGGAAGATTATCTTGCGCTGCCTTTCACTTGCAGGGCCAAAAAGAAACTACAATACAAATACACATATGCATGGAAATATATTCAAAGTAGGAGGCAAGTCTGTGGCATTGTTTACATCTTAAAGTTACAGTCGTATGTATACCCTCTGTCTCTCTCTGCAAAGGGTATTCCAAGTACGGTTAAGCCATACACCTATTCCTAACCTCAATGTTGTAAACAAATGAAAATAAACGATTGAGAAAAGCAAAAACAGAAAACTGTTTTCGTTGGGGGGGATACATGATTGCATTGGATTTTCCATTGGGACGCTGCCTGCTGTCTCCTCCTGCAGATGCAACGATTCATGGAGGGGCGGGTGCGGGTGCATTACATGTATCACAATTTGTTTTTGTTTTTACGGAGGCCCCTCTCGATAGATATGGCGGGTGGATTGCGGCCGTGTGTGTGTGTGTGTCTGTGTGTGTTATGGGGGATCTAGTGAGATAGAGAGACGCACCTTCCTCCTCCTCACTGCTGTCAGATACGACGGCTTTCAGCTTTTTCAGCTTCTTCCTTTCGTTTAGTTCCAATTCCTCCTCTTCCTGTAAAAATCATTGAAAAGGCAGTACATTAATATGTGGCATACTCTCATGCATGCATTTATATAGTTGATATGATATGTATATAAAGGAGCATATATACACATACGTATATAAGCGCGGCGGCTACAACAGAAAACTACAACAGCGTGCAAAACGCAAAAAAAGATGTGCCGAAATAGCCGGAAAGCGGTGCTTACCTCCGATTCCTCGGCCTCCGAGTCCAGAAATTCTGCCATTCCGAATAAATTAAATGATTAAACTAGTTCTCTAGTTGCTTAAAAACGAATATGACTAAATAATGCACAAATTTATTTCAGTGTCACAATAAAAAAAAAACTCAAAGAAGCAGAAGTGTCAAATTTGTGTAGAACGCTAGTGTTGGCAAACGTCAGCATCGAAACCCGGGACGGAGCGTACCAGTACAGTACACATTTTGTGAACTAGTTCTTTTTGACGAGTTTTTTTCTTCTTCTTCATTTTTGACGAGTTTTTTTTGGCCTGTTAGATATGATTTCGCCATATGTTATGTTAAGTTTTCGAACTTATGTTATGTTAAGTTTCGAACTTATGTTATGCGCAAAAATCACAAAATATCATGGCAGCCCGAAACTACGAATTGCACGAGTCTGGCAACGAAACAAAACGACGTCACATTCGTTTTATGTTGTTTTTGTTGTGATATGTAATATGTAAATAATCCAATAAAAAGGACTTCTGAAAACTTTCCAATCTTGTAGAAAATTTCTGTATCTATCGGATAAAATTATTTTTTTAGGGCTGAGAGTCCCAGCTAGCTAGTAATATTAAACGGAATATCAAAATCGAGGAATATCAACGTTGAATTAAAAAAACAAGCAACTACGTGGTATGGGCTCAAAAATAAGTGTGGATTACTGGTTACAACCGATTAAGAGCGGGGTAAGCTATTTTTTTCTGGGTTTGAGGTTCCAGTCCCACTCGACAAAACAAATCAAGTGAAATATATTTTTCAACGTAGACATTTGAAAATGACCCCAAACTCATTTAGCGCACAAAAATATCGATTTTATTCGCTCTCAAATCGTGGTGGTTTTTCAAAATTCGCTCTCACCGTAGTGGTTTAAAATTTGCTCTCTTTCAGTGGTGAAGAGAGCATTTTTGTGGTGACTTTCCCCTCATTTTCGTGGTGTGAGAAACATTTGATTTGTATGGGAAAAATTTTAGCAACATGGGAAATGAAGTGCAGCATGTTTTGCAACGGCACGGAATGAGCAACAAGTCTGAATACCTTGGGAAATGATATTATGGACTTGGATACTGTTTGTAATTTCAGGCTCCAATTAATGCCGAAACTAGCCAGTCTCTTTTGTAAAGACATAAACGAAATTTTTTAGCGGGTACCAATAATAGGTATCAGAACCGGGATAAATGTATATATAAATATATATATATAGATATAAAACAAAACATATGCATTAATGGTAAAAAAACATGTCAATCTAGTATAAAATCATAAATAAAGTTTCAATGGAGCTTGGAACAACAAAATTAGTATCAATTAAAAGAAATAAGGTATAAAAAAGTACATACGCATAAAAGAAACTTGGTTGACCAGCAAAACTGACGTCACATTTAGTCAACATTTACGTTTTATGCTTTGGCCGCTTTTGTTTGAACCTTAATATGTAAACAATTTAATAAAAAATAGTTCTGAAAACTAGCCAATCCTAAACAAAATTCATTGAGGAATTGGATAAAATTATTTTTTTAGGGCTGAGAGGGCCATCTATCAGAAATATTAAACTGAATATCAAAATTGACGAATTTCACATCACAAAATATCATGGTATAGCAGCCCGCAGCAACTACGAATTGCAGGAGATCTCCACAAAACGACGACACATTCGTTTTATGTTGTTTTTGTTTGAACCTTAATATGTAAATAATCCAATAAAAAGGACTTCTAAAAACTAGCCAATCCTAAACAAAATTCATTGAGAAATTGGATAAAATTATTTTTTTAGGGCTGAAAGTCCCAGCTAGCTAGTAATATTAAACGGAATATCAAAATCGAGAAATATCAACGTTGAATGTTTTGAAAAAACAATCGATACTATCGTGATAGCTCTAATAATTATTAAAAAACCATTGAAACCTTTTAAGAACTTGTCCATTGTAAAAATTAGATGCCACCTGTCGATGATTTGTTTACAAATGTGTCTTCGTATCTTATAGCAGAGAATCCAAACATATTAAAAGCGCAACGACTGTAGCTCGATACTATCATGATAGTCTCAATACCATCGATAGTAGAGGCTAGCAGCAAAATATCGATACTAACGATGTTACATCGATGTTTTTTCCAGCTCTAATTGTTAAGCGGCACCGCAAATGAAAATAACTAATTCCGGCGGCTCGGCTTGTTTTTTTTTTTGCCAAAGTGTCTGAGGAAGAGTGTGAATGCGTGTGCCTATCTAACTGTCGGGTTCGTTGACGTTTTTGAAGAGGCGTGACTGCCCACAAATTTAACAAACAAAATTTTCTTCTAAATGACCAACCAATCCAGATTGGATAGTGTATATTAATATTTATATATAATGTATTTATGTATAAAGATAACGTTTACTTTTGGACAAACACTACATTTAATACATCAAACGCAGAGCGAACAACAACAACAGCAGCAGCGCAGTCGAGTGCAAACGGAGAAAAGAATTCACCATTGAAGCCGCAAAAAAGGAAAATAAGTGAGAAACGACTGGGAGCATGGATATAATCAATAAGTTTAGCAGTGCATTCTGGAGTACGGACGTTTGGCTGCCGCCAAATGTAACATGGGCCGATATAGCGCCCGGCTCGCGGCCCGATGTGGTGCATGCCAATTATAAGGATCTTATCTGGCCCATTCCATTGGCGGCGGTTGTCATGCTGGTGCGCTATACACTGGAACGGTAAGTGTATATACATGTATTCCATTCCCATTGCCATTGCCATTCATTTCCCACTTTTTGACCACTGTGCCCGCTGCCTTCCATATTACTGTAAATTCCCATTGAGAGCCACTTTGCGGTCACTAAAGAAATCCAGAACCGCATTATTGCATTTGCCTTTTTGCTTGCACCATACATTAAGCAATGCGCATTTGAAAACTCAAAGTCCTCTGCAAAAATTCTCGTTTGCGCAGATCGTGCGCAGTCCGCTTTTTGGGCCAAACTACCCTTAAGTGGAAACGCCCAACATTTGACGACTACATTATGTATGTATGTTTTCGTATATGTCTCTTACGCCTTGAATATGTGTTAGTAAGGCATGCTTGAGAACGTTTCCTACTCTTAAAGTTGTTAGTAGCCGCACAACTACAAACTATTAGTACAACCATTACATAGTTAACCCGTGTGATTGCTATCCTTTAAAACTTCGCAGACGGTTTCGCAAGTGAATAGTGGCACCTTCTGAAAAGAGGCTCGCGAAAATATTGCAATCTTCAAAGCAAGTGCTTTTCTACAGCAACAGCTGACTTTAACAGCTTTTGACTTCCCACAGATATGTTATATACATTTGGAATTAGACTTTATAGTTTGAAGTTTTCTTAATATGTTACCAAAAAAAACAATCAATTTTAGTACTTGAGAAAATCGACTAAATGCCCGATGGGAGTGGTGTCCCGTGTGTGCACAATGGGATGAATGGGAAATATGAATTCTCTATGATGTGTACACATACATATAGATATCATAAATTAAAATTTTAAAATATGCTAAAAAATAAGGACAACGGCAATTATAAAATCTGAAATCGGACTTTAATTATATATGTACCACGATACCGTGTCAAATCAAAGTTCAAGCATTAAATTTATTAGTTTTGCCTTCTCAGATTGAGGCCAACTGTTCCGGGTTGATAAGTGGGGGCCTAAAGATTTATGAGCCATGTAAAATTATGTCTGTAGTTTGTGGAGGGATTGAACCCTCTTAAGCAATTCCATTTGTAGAAGGAATTAAAAAATTAAAAATGGTTAAAAAATCAATTGAGCAATACGTCTTTATTTCTGGTCTCCTATTATAAGGCAGTTTTTTTTAAATTAAGATCAGATTAAATATTTAAATTCTACAATAAATTGGAAAACTGTCAACAGAGAAGAGTATATAACTATTTTAGATTTCTTGGTCCTCCTTCTGCTCTGAATTACAAAACAAAAAATAACATACATAAATTTGACACTGCACACTCTGAACTGGTCCCATGGTCCAGGGGCCAAGAGAGCTCACTTTTCCGGCCAATTAACCCGTGTGCCTAGCTTTGGCTTTGGCTTTGGCTCTGGCTCTGGCTCTTACTCTGACTTTTGGATGCTACGACGGATAAACGCGGCAACAATTAGTCTACGAGGCTATTTGTGTGTGTGTATGTGTGTGTGTGCGTGTATGTGCTATCGTGTATCTGTGTGTACTGCAGTTGCAGGTTGCGTGCTGCAGTTGCATTTTGAATTTGCATGTAGAACAGTTGTAATATTCATGAATTTTGTTGTTTTTTAAACAGCACGCGCGCCCATTTGCCAGCAAGAAAATGATGCCAAACAGACAACAGTTTTCCCTTAAATTTTTGTTTGTTCTCCACATGGCAGCAGCGGCCTTTTGCATGACTCTAGTCTCTGCCGAAACATAAAAGTAACGAAACGAACACAAAATCTGTTTCATGGCAGACCACTTCTTGTCGTTGCTTTTTTGTTGTTGTTGTTGTTTCCTTTTCGGTTCTTCTCTGTTCGATCTCTTCTCAAAAACTAGAATTGGAGAATATTGGCCTTCAAGGTCGTATCGGATTTGGAATTTTATTTTAGTGGCATTTTATTTTTTTTTTGGCATTTTGTTATTGAATGGCAAATGTCGAGCGTCGATACGGGAGATTCGATATGGCTGCAGTCGGACCGGCCTTCTAATCAACGAAACGGAACGGACAACCACCTTGAACACCTTGGCGCACCAGCACCAGCACCGGCACCGGTAACGTCGCACCACACCATCGTAGCACAGCACTCGCGCATTCGCCACCTGATAAGATTTGCGGCCAAAGATTTACGTATAAAACAAAAACAATAGCAAAAAATGTTGATAATGCCCTGGTAGATTGTAGATTGGTTTACGAAGAACTAGCGAATGACTGTGCCCGGACGCCGCCTCCCCCGGTGGATGTAGATGTGTGGTGTTTCATCATCGTTTCTTTCTGTTTTTTTTTTTTAGTTTTGTTGTGTTTGTGTTTGCTGAGCGAGTGAGTCATTTCCGAGTCTAGGAGCTCAGAAGTTTTTCCCAAATATGTATGTATGGTGGTGGGAGGGGGTCCTCCCTTAATGGAACTCACACTTTGGAATGTGTGTTTTAAGTTTAAACATTGTTTTATGTATTTTAGTATTTTGTAAGGAGAAAGAAAGCATTACAACATGTCCACAGTTGTTGCTATGAGATACATAAGTACATACGTACGTATGTATGTAATTCCATCTATTGGGGTGGAAGCCTCTCCCTTGGATCCACTCCCCAATTCCAAAAGTACACTGTACAGTGGCGGGTATTCCACTCCCATTTTTTCTTCCTTACTTGAAAAGAAAAATCCATAATATTTCACACTGAAAAATCTACACTAAATGCTTGGCGCAACTTTCTGTCTTAATCTGTTTTTATTTATTCAATGGGTTGTACTTTTTTTCTGTTTTGAAACATTTCAAACATTTGTCCGCTTGCCTTATGGGAAAATTGCTCACCAAAATCGACGTCTTGCGGGGAACAAGTGGAGCAAGTGGTCTGCTGTTTTGTTGATTGACACAATAATAAATAATAGTCGAATAATGGCATTAAACGTCTGAGCACACATTAACCGCTTAAAGTTTTCTTCTCGGATTTCAAAAGATAAGCAAAGAGAAATAACTTTTTAAGTGACTGCCAACAAAAATAGATAGGAATTTCATAAAAAAACGTAACGTAACAATGTACTCAAATTTCTCAATTATTTCTTCTTGAAGAAATAGTAGTACAGAAACATGTACATACTTGTCAATCGATTCGCCCGCTCGAGTCGTAGGGCAATGCCCCTGGCCTTACAGACTGCCCCATTATTTGTATTTGTGTTTTATTTTTTTCTTATACTTATAGCAGAGTATCTTATAGACTGTTTGTATTCATATTTGAATATTCCGATTTACATTCCATTTAAAATGCAGCAAATCAATGTAGTTAGCAAAACAGTTGAATAAGTGACAGCATGTGTCCGTTCGCTTATGCGATTTTCGTACAGTGTGGAACATTTGGCCCCTGTTACTACTCTCCCGCTGTGTTATATTTAAGCTCTTTTTTGTTTTTGTTTTTGTTTTTTTTGATACGTAATCACTCGAGAGGCGACCCTCGGGGCTATGTGCTCTGTGCTATGTGCTCTTATAGTGCGATAAAATTTCAGGTTAATTATTTTAATGGCTCGCATGCACACACAACGAATTGCACACGTCAGACCACCGATCCCTCCCTCTCTCTCTCTCGCTGTCCCTCTGTCTCTCAACAAAAAATAAACACTAATCTCTGGCAAAATGTGAGAAATAGTATCAAACCAAGTGTACATGGCCGTGTGTCGTGTGTGTGGCTGTGGCAAGGTCTTTTTTGATAGGTTTTTATGCTGGAATAATGATTTCTCTTTATCATTTGGAAACTCTAGAATCTAGAGTCTAGATTATGGCTTTCCAAAAACAAAAGGAGAACTCCAGCCCAGGTGTTAAGCAGCCAAATCTTAAATCCCCATAGCCCAATGCCCATTGCCCATTGCTCATAACCCGTTTCCATGAGGTTTTTCCATACCCATCTTCAAAGGCACACGGGCACACAAAAGTCGGTCAGTTTTGTATGGGCTTATCGCCGATTGCCCAACGGAATGGAATGGAATACATACTCACATACTCGGTCGCATGCGAGTGCGAACTGGAGCTGGGAATAGGGAAAAGCACGTGCTTTACGCACCTGAAATACCTGACGACTGGCGGCGGCTGTCGGAGAGAAAACAGAACACCATTAGGAAAACAGAAACAGCTTGTCAGTGTGGTTGGGGAGGGGGAGGGAGGGTACGAGGAGGCGCCCCCATTTCACGTGCAATTTGTTAAAGGCCCCCCAATTATCACCTCTGTTGTTGTTGTTGTTGTTGTTGCTATTGCTGTCGGTGCGAGTTTATCGAAAGCGCAGAAGCACCCAGAATCGATAACGATGGAACGAATAAAAGTGTTTCCACTGCTCCACACAGCCAAAAGCATTCCACTGGGTGGGGGGGGATCAATCAATTCACTTGGACAGCAAGTATTTCTTATTAGGGTATAGAGTAAACGCCAAAAGACGAGTAATATAAATTAAAGTTAGGCGATAAGGGGGGCGCTCTTAGTGCCTGACTCATGGCAACTTATGCTAAATTCCAAATGTACGGAATACACGGTGGGGGGTGACTCATTCAAACATTCATCATCCAACATGCCATTCCCCGTAGTCTACCAATTTGCCAATCTCCCAAGATATCTATACAAGTATATATATATAGAACCCCACTAATCGGGGATTACGTGTTGGTAGTATTATCGGTTGACAAGCGAGTAAATAATTCGCCTAAAAAAAAACACAACATACGACACAATGCGACATGTGTGCATGCCCCACAATCGATTCTGTAATTCTGCAGATTCATTATTCATTATATATGTATATAAGTATACGTACATATGTATATATGTATAAGTTTAGTTGTTGGCTCCACTGATAACAGAATACAAATTTCAATGGTCGCCAATCGCACTGTTTTTTGCACTGTCAATGCACTGTACTCGCCGCACAAAAATGCAAACAAATTTCTGAAGGGAGCAGCACAAATTAAATTACAATCGAAAATTGTCAAATAAAATAACGACTGAGCCACCGATCATTTATTTCGAAAACACAATCATTAACCGCACGCCAGAGCTGCTCACTTATACTTATACTTAATGGCAACCGCTTAAAAGCCCAAAAGGAGGTTGTTTTTTTATTTAGCTGAGTGGATAGAGATTTATTCAAATTGGAGGTTTGTTATGGCATACCCCATACCTTGGATTGTGCCTAAAGTTATGGGTTTTAATGGGGATCTGTGTGGGATGCCCCTATATAGTTTCTTTGTAAAAATCAAAGCCAAGAAGGGTAGCAAGTAATAGGTTGTAATTTTTATTTCACTTGGCATTCCGGAATTGTGGCTTTAGCCAGCGCTGGATGTTGTCCTTCCGCTTGGCCCTCATCTGATCCGAATCTGCGCTGGTGGTGGCACCAGCTCCTTCGTCTCGCTGCGTCGGATCGTTGGCCATGACAATGAAGAGTTCCTGATCGGTGTGCGGCCGCAGCTGTTCGCGCAGATAGTCCACAAACTCCGGCTCGTTGCCCGAGGCACGTGGGCTGCCGGAGCTTAGAGTCGAGATTGTAGTAGCGGCCGTTGATGCAGCGCAGGGCCAGCCAGTGGCGCATTCTGAAGGGCGGTGGCAAGAGTTGGGTCAACGGCAGACGCAGCGGCACGTTCAAAATGAAGCCCATAATCTGGGCCAGATCGAGACATCTGGGATCGCGCCGCCTGTCGAACCACACGGCCTCACAGTGGTGCTGCTGCAGGGCATACATGATGACATTCACATCGTAGTTGCCCCAACCGAACCACGATCGATGGGGGTTCAGCCAGGCGCGTGGCGTCAGACTCATGCAGTATTCGTCCAGCTCCGATTTGGTGTAGGGATCCCTGCCCTGAAACAGATTGTTTAGGGCATGCAAAGCGCACAGTTGCCGGCTCTGGCGCTCATGATAAATTCCACACGAACCGGACATTTTCTATTTATACAAATTTGACTTGGAATTGAACTTAAATTTTGATTTGGAATATGTGGCGGCGGCATCTGGCAGCAGGGCTCATCTGACATTTGACGCACAACCGATTCCAGTGAGTGCTTTCCATAGCTGCCTTTTGGAAGGGAGAGCCCCCTCCCCCCACCCCCATTGCCCTTTGCATTGTCTCCGGTCTGTGTGTTGTTGTCCGTTGCTTAACTTTTAATAATTCAATTGATTTCCAATCGAGTAAACACGCACATGGCAGCCATACACCCAGAGGGGGCGACGGCGCCGGCGACGGCGACGGCAACAGGCATACCCCCATATTCTAGCCAATTACAAAGCTATTTCCCATAACTAGTGGACACACACATTAACAATTCATGGCTCGTCACCGAATTAGGGAGGCGCTCCACAATCAAGAAGAATTAATCGATATCGCGAGTGACACCAGATGCGGGGTCCCACTCGGCAGACACTCCACCTCCAACCCGAAATCCTTGTGATTGAATTAATTGTAACAAACTCTCGCTCTCTCTCACAAAACACACAACAGAGGTCATGGCATGACCCTCTCGCTAGCTTGCACCGTCACTTCTCTGACAGCTTGGGGCGCACATCTTTTATTTATCAATCAAAGTATCAGAACAACATTTAAAATTGATTTTATCAGGCAGTTTGGTATGCCAGAGACTCGACTCCATGCTGAGTTTCGTTTAACGTTAGGATTTCCATCAATTCCATCTCTCAATTCCAATATTATTGTGAATTTTCGCAGGTTTCCTTTGGATTTAATGAATTAATGACTATTTATTTTTGTAGATCGATATCATTATTTTTAAAGCATATTTAGGGGGCTATATTATTGCCTTTTGCTATAGTTTATGCCCATTAGTATGCACTGATCATTCTTTTAGGATTCACAGGCTTTTTGAGGGGGTGTATTTTGTTATTGGATTCACGGGGGGTTCCCTTCTTGCTTGTGTGTCTGCAACAGGAATATGTTTCACTTTTTAAGTGTGTTCTGTGGCCAGATATCGGATTCCCCTTTGTAGATGTTTATACTCTGGAATTTGTGTCACAGAGAGAGCATTCGCAAGTCGACTTTTGAATGGAGTGGAATGAATGGAGGGACAAGCGGCTCTCTCAGCGTGGACAGTGTGGAGGTTTGTGTGCGTTTCAGCATCGCATAAATTCAAGTTAATTGTTATAATTTATATGGCTCTGGCCCTAGCGATTGTCTGGCACACTCGTAAAAACAAAGACACTCAACAGGGGAATGAAAGAATGAGAATAGCAATAGCGAAAATAAAACGTAACTTTGGTTTGCTTCTCCTTCTCCTTCTCCTGCTCATCCTCATCCTCATGCTCGCTCTGCCGACTGTGGCTTGTGCTTTGCATACCAATCGAAATCGAATCGAAAACTACTGTTTAAAATGCCAATCGCAATCGCAATCGCCATCGCCAGAGAGGGCGTGGGGGACCTAGAGATGTGCCAAAAGAGCCCGATCCGAAGCCAGAGTCGGGACGGTTCGTTTCGTTTTCATTAGCAAATTAACTTCCGAAAAAAACAGAAATAAGTATTTCTAGATGGGAGATAGATGGAAGGGTGCCCCTGGGGGCGCTGTCGTCTAAATTATTTATGCATGTCGTACATCCCCATCCCCATCCCCATCCCAACCCATTTCACATTCCCTGCTGCCCACTGTTGCGCTTTTTTCCAATGCCTTACACGTGCCAGACGACAGGTGAAGACGACGAACCGGCCATACGTATTTTTATTCTTTCCAGAATTCCAATGAATCGGAAAACAACAAAAATGTCAAAAATAGTTCCGCATTGGTGCGGAGGGGGTGCCTGCCGACTGCCAAGGAAATAATTATGGAGGCTTAGCCTCTAGCTGAATTCTGGCCAAATCTGCTGTCAATAAAGTCCGCAGCCTCCAGGGATAAGTAAATACTATCCTTGGCTCGAGAAATTCCACATATTGTTCACTTCGCATCACATTTAGTTTCTTTCCACACCTTTCCACATATTGCCGAAATATCTCCAAGCATTTCTCATGATAAATAACCCTCATTGAATATTTCCATTGCAGCTTTTGGATATCTCCGGTGGGCAAGTCCCTGGGCATACGAAGTTCTAGACCTAAGAAAGCAGCAAATGTTCCTATACTAGAGAATGCCTACGCAAAATCCACACGATTGGATAACAAATGGGTAAGCTCACCATATTGATCGCTATTAACTGCTTAACTGCATAGAAGCAACTATAATTCCATTTGTTTTGGTCTCCATTCAAGCTGGGTCCATTGTCCAAGCAGACGGACATGAGCGAGCGACAGATCGAGCGATGGTGGAGACTGCGTCGCGCGCAGGATAAGCCATCGACATTGGTCAAGTTCTGTGAGAATACCTGGCGGTGCATCTACTATTTGTACTCGTTCATATTCGGGGTGATTGTGCTGTGGGACAAGCCCTGGTTCTGGAATGTGAAGAGCTGTTGGTACGGCTATCCCCATCAGGTGGGTGCTGCAATTGCATTACATTTATCCAAGAATATATTATCAATCCTCCTGACCCATTCCAGTCGATAAGCAATGACATCTGGTGGTACTATATGATATCAATGTCCTTCTACTGGTCGCTCACTGGCACACAGTTCTTTGATGTGAAGCGCAAGGACTTTTGGCAGATGTTTATCCATCATATGGTCACGCTGCTGCTGATGTCCCTGTCCTGGGTGTGCAATCTGCATCGCGTTGGTTCCCTGGTGCTGGTCGTGCACGACTGTGCCGACATCTTTCTGGAGGCGGCAAAACTAACCAAATATGCCAACTATCAGAAGCTATGCGATGCCATCTTTGCCATTTTCACAGTGGTATGGATTGTGACGCGTCTGGGCTTCTTTCCGCGTATTATCTACAGGTAAGCACGAGAGAAGATATTCTGCAAGATCATCCCTCCCAACGGTTCCTGTTCTGCTCTTCTTTTTGTGGCAGCTCTTCTGTGGAGGCACCACAAATCCTGCCCATGTTCCCAGCCTACTATATCTTCAATTCGTTGCTGTTGATGCTGCTGGTCCTGCACGTCATCTGGACATATATGATTCTCAAGATAGTTGTCGACTCTCTGCAGAAGGGTCTGGTAAGTTGCGGCGAGCAAAGACAACGACAACGACAACGACCACGACCACGGAAAAGACTTTAATTATTTCATTCTTTGATTTCACAGATGTCCGGTGATATACGTTCCAGTGATAGTGAAGATCTCACGGATAGTTCGGAGAATGTGCGCTTGGCCAATGGGGGGTCATCGTCGTCTCGTTCCAAGAGCAAGTCGTCAACGATCAGTGGTGGAGTCAGCCAGCGGAAGTCGCATAGTGCCAGCAATCACACGGCGGACACGGAAGAGAAAACGATCAAGTAAATATAGCGTGGAGAGGAGAGGCAAGAGCTCCAGAACCCCAAGGAACAACCATCCCCAGCCCCATCCCCCTCCCCAACCACCCCAGTGAAGGAGGACGTACGAAGCAGCAGCAACAAATAAACCAGAAAATATAAATAAAAGAAAAACACAACACAACAACACAACAAACAACAACACAACACACATACACAACGCATACAAAAAAAAAAAACCAAACCAGTTCAGAACGTTTTTATGTTATTATTATTTTTATATATTACCTACAATTTTTTTTTAAGATCAAACAAAAAAAAAACGAAATACAAAACACGGAAACCAAAACAAATTTCAAAATAATTGCGAGAAAAAAAAAACAGAATGATCAAAAATAATAATGATGATGATGGGGTCCCCCAGTGATTTGATATTGATACGAAAATTGATGCCAACGAGAACAGTTTTAGAAATATTAATTAAGATTAAACTGAGAATCCACCAATTGAAGAGACGGAAGGTGCCTGTTTCTGTTCCTATTTTGAAATAGTCTTCTTACTTTTAATCGTCTTCCGTTTTCTGTAATTTCAAGCAAGACTTTTGTGTGCATTAAGAAAAAATCTAGTTATTTATAGGAAATGTACATATGTACATACATATATATTGCAGTTTTCCATTCCATACTTCCGAACATTTTATGCTCTGTTTTGTTCAGTTCTTGGACATCAATTTTCGATATCAACAAATCAAATCAGCAAACTATTTTGGACCGATTATTATTATTGTTCAAATTTCCTAATCAATGCTTGTTTTGCTTAACACAGAAAAAAAAAACACAATCAAAATAAATAACAACAAGAAAGTGGAGTTTAAAAATAGAAAACATAATAATATATACAATTAAATTAAATCGAAGTTAGGATTATTTTAAAAATAAAAAACTAAATAAACTGAAAGATATGGAGAGAGGTAGCACCAACAACCAAACAACCAACAGCAACACACCCCACAGTCGCGGGCATAAACCAAAACTCGTTTGGTGAAAGCAGAAAAGATATAAAACGAAAAACTATTGTAAATACCGTACTTGTACGTTTCCAATATACATATGTATTAAATAAAACTTATGCAAAAATAAATTACAAGAATCCGTCACGTGTCACGTACCGTGTTTTTCCCACAACAAACGAAAGAGATGGCTACATGTACACAAGCAAGTCGACTGTGAGTGTAACGGTGCTGCTGCTGCATAGCTCCACAATACCAGAGTGTGTTGCCATCTCACTCTGACTCGTGGACTCACGCGTTCCTTCTCGTTTTTGAACTCCTTTTGGTGTACGATCCCATAGTAACATTTAGGAAATGATCGAAGAATCTCTGATCTAATTTAACATATTATGGGAATTGTTCATGATTAGAGCCTGGAAAATGCTCAAAGCCCATTCCCAATAAAAGCCATGTGTTCTTTCCATTTTCAAATCCTAGTCAATGAACGTTTGGGTCCACGTTTCTGTTCCGTGTGTGTGTGTGTAAAAGCCTAGAAAATTTATTTCGTCTGGTTCATCAAGTATTTTATAACTACAGGGGCTAGGGGCTACACAGGGCTTAGGGGATTAGTACTGATAGCCATCGGGTTGGTAGGGCCGGGCGAAGGGGCCTGGAGCAAACGCACCGGGTGGAGGGCGCCAATTCGTTGGCGGTGGTCGCGGTGGTGGCGCTGGCATGCCCGGCGGTGCCCACGAGTTTGCTTGCATCATGCGCGGTGGCGGCGGAATGCCCATTGCCGGAGGTAGTGGTGGTTGTCCGCCCGCCATTGGTGGCAATGGTGGTGGCGGTATTGTGGCTGGGAACGGTGTGGGCTGCGGCACTGGTGGCGGCGGTGCTATCATGCCCATATTGTTCTGCGAGACGGGCACCACGGGCGGTGGGGGCGCCATCATCGGTGGCGGCATCATTTGGCCCGGCATCATCTGGCCGGTCATCATGTTCTGCACGGGCGCATCGGCGAACAGCTGATGCGGACGATCGGCATGGGCAGAGGGATTCTGGGCGGCAAGCAGACGCTCGGCTGCCGAGCCATGACGCTCGCCCTTGTGGTCCTTCTTGAATGCATACGATACGGAAATGGGACGATTGCAGAGATATTGTCCGTTCATGGCGTCCATGGCGGCGTCACTGGCCTCGAAGCTGGCAAAGTTGATGAACGCGAAACTCTTGGACTTCCCCGTCTCCGGGTCGCGCATGATCTTGGGAGTTTGCAGGATCACGCCAAAGGCGGAGAATGTGTCGTAGAGCAGCTTCTCGTCCACTTCCACATCGAGATTGCCAATGAAGATGTTGGCGCCGACATCCAGGTTCTTCTGATGCGCCGACGCCTTGTTCACTCTGATCGGCTTGCCATATAGCTTGATCATGTTCATAATCTTTATTGCATAGTCTGCATCCTCTTCGCTGAGGAACTCCACGAATCCATAGCCCTGATGCATTTGTGTAACGCGATCTTTGGGCATGTGTACGTTTACTGAAAGGAAGAGGAACAGCGCTGCAGGATGAGCCGCTCAAGCACACCGATTCTCAATGCTTACCAACTGGTCCGGCCTGGACAAACAGCTCCCAAAGCAGGGACTCGGACACCTTGTCGTCCAGACCACCGGCGTAAATTGTGGCATCTGCGGATATGAGTGAAAATCTGTGTGAGAAGCAGCTTCGCTAGCCGGAAACTATCTACGCACCTTGATTACGTTCCGCAATGGGGCCTGCTGCCATTTTTGTACTGTTTTACCTACAATAAACACACTATTTAAATGCAGATTTTATTTGGCAATTTCAAGCTAGGGATGCAAAACAGTGTGACCGCGGATACCGAAATATACCGTCTCATTTTCATAATATACCGGAAATATACCTTGACGTGGACGACAGATACTACTATCGATTGCCTGCTGTACAGCGACGCTGCGAGTGCTGTACAGTTCGTCAAAGTGCAGTCGATAGCAGCTTCTTACATCTCTATGTAGTTCCATGTAGAATGTAATTTCCACCGTGTAGCAATTCAAATTTTTCTTGTAGAATTATCAGATATAAATATTTCCTCAGTGCTGAGGGTCCTACCTAGTTATGCAGAATACATTTTGTTTGAATTATACCAAATATCGCTAGCAAATTCTATACAAGCATCGATTTGTAACAGGGTGACCGTTTACGGTATATAACACCTTTCGGGATATTTTTACGTCGAAATTAAGATCAAGGTATATTTCTGGTATATTATGAAAATGAGAAGATATATTTAGGTATATTTCTGTGGGTTTGGCTGGTATCACTAATTTAAAGGTTCTGTTAAAAAAAATCCCGGAGGCGGCAGGTCCAGATTGAAAATTTCAAAAAGAAAAAAGAGGCGAAAGTAGAAATGACAACTGAAAAAGTAAAAAAGCTGAAGGAATTCAACATGTTTGAGATCCCGGCGCCTCCCCGGACTTCACAAAGGGGCCTAACAATGCCAAAAACAGAGCCGGCGGCTGCTGTTAAGGCAGAAGCAAAAAAAAAAGAGGCTGACGATTCTGATACTTCATTCCTGAATGTATTATACCACGAACTGTGCGTGGACGATAAAATAACGAAATGGGAGGCAGACGAACCTGGAAACACCGCTAACTTGGATGGTGTCCCAAGTGTTTTCAACCATCGAACTCATCTGAAGGAGATGGACTTTCTACCGCCATCAACAGTTTCCATCGCGAAAGAACTTCAAGCGATTCGCAAGGCGATTCAAGCGCCTAAGAAAGAGTTGGAAGATAAGCGAAAGAAGAAGAAGCAAGAACGCAAGAGGGGTAAATCTGAGGAGAGTGCAGCAGAAAAACGGATTCGCAATAGCAGTCCGACCGATGGTAATGAGAAGGAAAACTGGCGCACCTCATGGGACAATAAACTTACACGCAAACGCCCACTCGAGCCAAATCACACTGAAAACAACGCAGTCAATCGAGATCCCAGGCTAAGAGTTAAATCGAATGAACAGCTGGGCTTCGGCCCAACCAAAGTGAAGCCGACACTCGCAGTGGATACAGATTCGGACGAAGAGTGCGTCTATCTTCGTGACGACCAGAGGCGTTTCAATGTGGTGAAACATAAGTTGTTCCAGGTAGATGAATTGCCAGTCCCACAGCCGGCAACAGAAAAGCTGACAGAGGCAGAGAAGCGACAGTTGGCCATGAGTCGGGCCGAGAAAGTGCTCAAACTGTTTGAGCAGAAAAGAACGGGCGCACAGGAGGATGAGTTCTTTATGGTAAACACCATACGCAAAGTGCCAGAAAGCGACTCCCGCATGCGTCAAAAAGCCGTCAAGAATGCCTCGTCGTTGTGCAGGAACCAAAACGTGGACTACGAGTTCAATTCAGTGCCGGGAACACAGATTGATTTGGTTAAATGGGGGCTGGAAACGGTGCCCAATAGCACAAGGGATCTGCTCCAGCTGATGCCCCTCGATGTGGATCATCTGAAACAAGCAGGGCTCAAGACACAGCCAAGCCAGCCCATACTCAAGCTGAAGCAGGAACAGCTTTTCAATGCGCCATCCGAACTGGAGGATTCCGACTCTCTACTCATAAACGCTGGCACCCAAACGGACGTCAAGCCTCACATGGAGAGCGTCGGCACTCAGGTTAAACTGACGGGCCAGCCGATAGGCCCCTTCTGGCACGATATACACTTTGACCCGACCGTTTTGACGAGGACCCAGTTGTATTATATATTTTCTCTGAAACAGCTCATGCGGACCCAGCCAAGTCATGCGGAGGCCGCAAGAATCTACAAAGTCCTTCAAACTGCTCTGGATATCCAACGCGAATACCATCCACGCAATTGACAAGATTGTAGATTGATTGTCAGTTCATTCAGATCGCAAAGCTTTAGAAACCAAAAATATGTATAACATACAAATTACTTGCTGTATGTATTTCAATATGCAGATTTACAGATCTCATTTATACTTTTAGATCATTTTAAAATGATTCGATAATTGCACATAAACACACAAAACAACAGAGAACAATGGCAAGCAATCGTCTTTTGCTGGGGTACGGAACGGCGCTCCACGGTGCTTTCACTGTCAGATCCGTGAGCCTCGTCTTTAATGTGTCCGCCTGTATACAATTTAAAAGCTATTAGGTTTTCCTTTCCCTTTCGAAGATCATCTCCTCCCACACTCACCTCAGAGGAATCTCTGGTCGAGGCAATCAACGGCGATACGGGCTCCGTACCTGAGCTGAGGTTCCTCGTTCGCTGGTAGAGGGGATCGAGCTGTCTGCTGATTCTCAGTGGGCGAGCCCATCGAGCGTCTTTCCCTCGCCAGCCCTGGCCGGTCTGGTGTCGTGTGTAGCTCGTGTCTGGAAATGATCTACTCTCCATGGCAGCAACACCTGCGAAGGTGTTGGCACTCATCTTGACCAGCTGGGTGGACTACAGAATCTGCTGCTTCTTCGAGTTCAACGACTCGACAACGTTATGGCTCTTTACAGGTCAGCACCCAAGCTAGGCTTCTTCTCGGCGACCTGACTGGCCTTCAACTCGGACAGACCGCTGTTCTCGGCCAGGGCCAGTTAAAATGCTCTCCAAGGCTCTAGTCCTTCACGCAGATGGCATCGTGGATAGATGGATAGAGCGCTTGGCCTCCGCAATGATCATTGCCGTGTCGTCTTCCATGGTATGGTTTAAGTTCTTCTCTCCAGTGGTGGACAATTCCATTTCGTCGACAATAATACAGCACTGTATTGTTGTATTTTTAGTATTTTCCCAAATATCGATATATTGGATACACTGTTTTATATGCCAATTTAATTTCTGAAACTGAATTCGCTACCGTTTCATCTTCTTTCCCATAGATGTTTACTTTTCTAATATAAAATGTTACAAAATATGAACCATAAATATCAATAAATTGATATTTTCGCAAGGAGATATACCGATATAGATATCGATATAAGTATCGATCCATTGACATTTTGATATATTTTTGACAACCCTACTTATTTTTATGTAATGTCACTTTGTTGTCGTTTGTTACAAGCAAGTTTGTTACGGGCTAGAAACCAAAAAACCAAAGAACCAACAACACTACAATTTGTGCGCTGTGATGTGATAATCAATTGTTAAGAATTATGAATTGTCATCAGATATTGAGCGGCGCCTGCAATGCAGGTGACCGGTGCTTCGCCATTGGCTCCGTGGAAGGCATACCATTTACAGTAAGAGAGAATAGTCAAAGTCTCCCCCCTCTCACAATACTCTGGCCGTTCTATTTATCACGCATCATCTTTTCCATTGTACAACAATTTCACACAAACCCACACACAGACATACAATTGATACACTCGCCCATTTTTGCCCCTAACGCGTTTGACATATTTGCAAGTTCCAATTGGAATGAATGTCTGAGACACCGATCGGAGCGGAGTGGAGCGCCTCTTGGGTCGGTCGCCACATGAGCATGTCCATGTCCCCCCTTAATGTTTATTATTTACATACATATGTATAGGTACATGCCTAATGCACACACAGACGCATATGCCAATGAAATATAAATGCTGTTTTATTGGTTATATGTACATATATGTATGTATAGTATACTATATGAATGTATATTTTGCCACACTTGGTGGTCAATTAAATCAAATGCAAATGATGAGATAGAGAATTTTATTTTCTGTGTGTAAATTCGATAACAACAACAAATTATTAGCGATTGGTTATGCGTGTGTGTAGCGTGGGTGTGTGTGTGTGAGCCAATGCGCGTAAATTGCTTGAGTTGACAAAAAAAAAGACAGCAGCAACAGCAACACAGAGGGAGAGAGAGCCTGGGAGACAGAGAGAGTAAAATATCAATATTTTTTGCCAAATGTTTTTCAATTGGAAATATGTAAAAGTAAACTGCATATTTGCATACTTTGCCAGGCAATAAATTACATTTAAAGGTCAAGTGCTGACACACACACAGAAACGCGCAGAATGCGTAAATATACATATACGTATAAACATATGCGTGCGCGCGCGTATATGTATGTGTGTACCCTTCGATTGGTCAGGTGGCCTTTGATGATGCCCTAATTTTGCAGCTTGCAGCATTACACCACCTCTTACACACGAACATACACACAAACACACAGACAAATTCGCTCGCCCACGCCACAAGGCACAGGGCATTCCCCCACTTACCTTTCAGTGGCATATTCCAATTCCAGTGGTATTCCCTCTTTACCGCAAAATAATGCAAAATATGCTGCTATGGTGGGCGGGCGCCTTATTTTACGCTCCCACTCTCTTTCTCTCTCTCCTGCTACGGAAATCGTCTGACGTCTTCCTCCAATAAGCAATTGAAACCAAAAAAAAAAAAAATCATAAACGGCCATAAAAAATATTGGTATGGTCGTGAGCACGCATTTAAAATGTGATTTAGGTTTCTATATTTTCTATACCCTTATAAGAGGCATTTTGAGTTGCAGTTTTATTTCTAGATACAAATCTCGGGAAAATACATACATATAACCAGAAGATTAACGATCGATCCATTTTCTTTATAGTTAGGTAAGGCTTATCTGTATAACTTTATCTGCCAGAGGCTCGACTGATATCTTGCAGGCTTTCCGATATGGGATCGTACGAAACGATAAAGAACTCTTTATTTCTCTTTACGATCACATTGCGATAGGATCTGATCATAGCGAGGAAGTGGTTGTGGGTGGGAAACGGGACGGGGCGGCACTGCATCGACGTTATTTGTGTATATGTATATTTGCCCAGACGGCAAACTGAAACATAATTAACTGTGGCGCATTCTAATGATCGGAACATCTGCCGCGTGCCTGTCCCTGGGATCTATTTACACACATATTACGAGTATTTTATTTATTTTCTTCTCTGTAATCAGCTTCGCCGCCTCCTCGTTCTCCTTCTCTCCCCCCTCCCTTGGCGATGTTGACATTCCCATGCCCCTCTGTCCCACACACTTATTGCCATCATTTTAGTTTCAGCTTTATTTTATTTTTATAATTTTTGGACGAAATTAACGCAAGAAATTCGTCTGGCGACGGCGCCACACTTTAGTACGCCACTCTGTCTGAAGAAATCCGCAGAAAATGATAGAGGAGAAACGAAAGAATGCGTAAAAGGAGACGTCCGAGCCGGCGAAATATTGTGGCTTAATATAGTATGATCATACTATGATCATATCGATCATAATCGGCAATCGTTAGCACCTATCGCAAAACAGATTTCTTTAAAAAATATTAGAAACAACTCTTCTATGGCAGGTCCAAACCGTAGAGCCCGCTCTGCTACAGAGCCTATGGTTCTCTTCGCTAGATTTCGTTTCTCAACCCACATGTTCCCCTAGACATGGCACTGCCATTATGGGCTTTGTGCCATTCGCAAGGGACAGACTTTAATTTTGATGCTTTACGAACACTGACGACGAACAGCTTACACTCTTATTCTCTTCTTTAGAATTTGTGTCCCTAGTCATGGCATTCTATATGTATAAAATCTTTGATTCAAATTATATGGCAATTATGCAGCGAACCACCAGAGGCCCTCAAGCTGCAGCGCCATCTTCTCTTTAGATCTTTTTTTTGCTTTTATTGTAACTATAGTCATGTCCTTTTCAGTAATTATTGCCGGCTGACTTCTTTTCACACTGACTTTTCGCAACTAAGGGACAGACATTTATCTCTCTCACTACTTTCACTCAGCAACACCCAAGGATCATGTTTGACGTTGGCTTTGATCGACGCGCGGCAACGATCCTCTCTGAGCGAGTCTCGCCATATACCCCGTTTCAATAGTCAGCAGGCGAGGGCAAGAATAACGGACAACCAAATAAAGGAGACAAGATAAGGCTAAGGCACATCAGAGTAGAAAATACGCAGCCAGTAGAAGATAATACACGGAAAATAATCTCACAATCCGATACAAATCTATGAGTAATCGTTGGGAACGGAACCCGTGCCAGATCTTTATCTAGTGACGAATCCAGAGCCAGAGCAGTGGAACGATATAAATTTTATTTAATTTAATTTTATTGAATTACTACGACAATGGAGAGGGAGAGAATAATTAGAGTGTGTGGGAAAACTCGCAATTTAGAGCACTATTTTGCTGGCTTGTTGGAATTCCGTTTTTAAACGATAATGAGCATATCAGCGACAGCTTGGCAAATAAATCAAACACCACACACACACACACACACACACACACACACACATATATATATAAAACAAAAATTAGTTATAACCAGGCACGTTACCAGGTAAAGCCCCTTCGGCAACCCGTGTGGTGGGTTTTGTTGGGTTGGTTTTGGTCTCTTGTCAACCAAAACCATATGACGATGATAAGCCAGCCAGCCAGCCCCGTATGCAGTGGTCGGTTATCACAATGATATAGAAATGTAAAGATTACGCTGCTACTACGAATACACATACACATCCACATGCACGAACACATACACATACACATGCACGAACACATACACATACACATGCACATACATGTGGGTGACCATAACCAATCTTTTGTTTTCGTTACTTTTTAACTTTGTTTTGTTTTTGTTTTTTGTTTTTTGTTTTTTGCAGGCCTACGCCGCCGGCTGCAATGTGGTGATCCTGGCAAGCACCTTCGAGCGTGTCCAAATCATACCGGGCGCCAGTCATGGCTATGTAAAAATATCCGCCCTCGACTGCAGCACCGATACGGGCAAAATAGCGGCCGCCTATGAGAATAAGATATGCATTTTCGAGCCCACGCCGGTGATTGAGTCCAGCAAGCATAATACCCATTTCCTAGACTACAGGTGAGATTATCTAAAGGGGGAGATCT